CTTCGACTGCTCTCGACAGCTTTCCAGCTGTCTCTGCAAACACCCACACCTCCTCTGCAGTCACAGGTAATCCCTATTAATCAAAAGCTCAGGTGTCACATTGCTTGATAGAGTGCTTCATACCCACCTTCCCCGTGTGCTCATACACCTTGTAGAATAGAATTTGGTGTGGATGAAGTGTTTGATAAAGATGGAAAAACAAAAGCAAAACAGTGGAGCTGAAAAGCTAAAAGAGAAAAAGAAAACAGATGAAATCGAAACAGATGGAGCAAACTTTGTCAAATTAACCAACATATGTCCGGGTAGCTGCTGCCGAATCACCATTCTCTTCTGTACTCTCTTCTGCTCATCGAGTTGTGGGGGCACTGGAGCCTATCCCATCTACCACAGGGCGAGAGGTGAGGTACACCCTGGACAGTTCACCAATATGATGCAAAGTAGGGATGGGTATCGTTTAGGTTTTATCCGATACCGGTGCCAAACCGGTACTTTTGAAACGGTGCCGGTGCTTAAACGGTGCTCGAACCGGTGCTTAAAGAATGGAGAACACAAACTTTGTCCAAAAACCTCTCATGTTTAACTGTTTTCCACTTTTTCTTTGGTCATTTTAGCCTTTTTGGCCAGGGTGAAGGGAGTATCTGCCATCAAACAAGAAGACAGCCGCATGTAGCTATGATGATGTTTGCTAGTTCACCTTACATGCATTAATGTAATAACGTGGTTAGCCTACTCAACGTAAATTACACACGAACAACATGAAGCTACTCACGCAGAGAAGAACGGCTGCTGCTGCATCATCATCCTCATCATTTCTGCTACACTGGCAGGGCTAGGGGCCAGGACTCTCCTCTTCGGGTTTTTGGGGGATGTTGCTAACTCCGGGTCCGATAACAGGCACCACACCCGCAGTAGATGTGCTCGGTGTGAGGTCTCGCAGCAAGCTATCAAATACGGCGCATTTCTCGGCTTTTAAAAAAAACGCTATGCGTCGCCAGGTGTTTCATCGGATTCGAGGTGTTACCTCCTTTGACAGTATCACAGTATCAGCTTAAAGCACTTGTTGCTGCTGAGTTTGCATCTTTTGCTGTGAAGTACAGCCAGACTTTTGACCGCTTCGCCTTGGACATTTTTAATCTGTAGCTCTGCTCTAAAAGAACGTACGTACCTGGCCCGCCTACTATCCTCGGAAACGTAAAATGATTGGCTAGAATCTAAAGTGTATCACAGCTCAGGAAAAAAGCACCGAAATGTGCGCTGCTTTTCGGTCTGGTTACTACCGTTTATGTCAGAACCGACACCGGTACCCATCTCTATGCAAGAGTCACCCGATGGGCAATTTAGAATCACCAAATAACCAATTTAGAAACATAACCCCCATTAATGACATGTTTTTATACTGTAGCGGGATGTAGGAGCACCCTGAGGAAACCCATACAAACATGGACATGCAAAGAGAACTGAAAATAGATAGTGGAGTCAAACTCAGGACCCTATTGCTGTGAGGCAACAGTGAAAACCACTGCAGCAATAACATCAGTATCAGCAATGATTGGTAACAAACCCTGGCAGTTCCAGGAGATTGCTGTTATATAGGTGAGGAGGGTGTACTTAATGCGGTAAGAAACTAGACAGAGGGACAAGGAAGAGATTCAAGTGAAATCAATGTTTCCTTTGACCATGGGCCATTCCTCATAGCTTTTAATTGTAACAGTTTTACCGTAATGGTTGTATCACTGAAAACATCCTGACACAAAGTTTGACATCTTGGTTTGTCCAATGAGAAGTGACAACTTAATAGGATTGTTAAGACTGCCAGGAGGATTGTTGGTGCCCCTCTCTCGTCTCTGGAGGAGATCTACAAACAGTGCTGCATACGCAGAGCTATCTCCATCATCAGAGACCCCACCACCCCTGGCAAGAGGTACAGGAGCATCAGCTGCAGAACCACCAGGATGCTGGAAGCGTTCTTTGCACAAGCCGTGAGACTGATAAACACAGTGCCTTGGTTGTACCTCAGGAGGTAGAGCAGGTCATCAACTGATCAAAATATTAGTTGTTAAATCCCTGGCTGCTTCAGCTAACCCCAAGTTTTTCTCCAGTCCATCCATTGTAGCGTGTATGCTATAGAAAGCACTTAAGGAGAAGAGAAATAAAAGGCTGCTTGAATGAATGGGAGGATGAGGTATGTTATATAAAGCGCTTTGAGTTATTAAACTATAGATTATGTTAATTTTACACATTAACTTCATATAATTTAAGACCAAAGAGTCTTGCTGACAGATTTCTTTCATTTACTACTGTATTTTTTTTTACCATGTAGGAAAACTGGCCGAGGGCCGTTTTCCTATTTTCCTTTTCTCCTGATTGCTCCTATTTGCAATCAGGAGACGCCCCCTGCTGGTCATTAGAATGAATGCAGTCTTTTAGACTGCAGGATAAACTTATGTAGGTGCATAAACAGTCTAATCTAAGAACAACAGCCACAACAATGGTGTCAGAGATGAAGTTCTGAGTTAAAGACATTTAGAGAGCATGAAAAAAAATGTACACTACATTTAAAAAATATATATTAACAACATCGTGAGCAACGAGGAATCACACTGAAGTACTGTAATCAGTTTATTGGCAAAATGAAATATGAATCCATTTGTGAGTACATACTTATGACACCAACAAGCTATAATTGAAGAAGGCCATGTACTTCTAAACAGATGTATCCTTTTGTGTCTTAGACACCATTACAAGGTTAATGGGATGGTATTTATGCGACTGTAAACAAAACAAAACAAAAAACAGGCCACTGAGAAAACCACATACTGGCTTGAAATTAAAATTGTACACAAATGAATGCCGAGGATCCGTGCTAAAAAATAGTCCCATCATGTCACACAGTTCAAAAGTGGTTACAATTAATGCGCTACTCTTCTCAAACGTCTGGATTAAACAAGGTTCCATACTTCAACCTAAAAAGGCTCTATTTGCTCGTTTAAAAATGCCAATAGTAAACTGCAACACTTTTAGAAGACAAGTATCTTTTTAGTAGCTTATTATTTCCTTTATTATTTTCAGACTTAAAAGCAATTAGGAGAATGGGAAAGAACATCGTTTAAAAATTGAAGGAGAGACCTGCTGCCATAGAAAATACTGGAAGGAATACTTTGGGGACTCAAATTCTTACAAATAAACACTTAAATTCCAGACAAACTACTATAACTTTACACAATAACTCAAAACACTGGCATATAAAAATAAAACAAAACATCCACCGAGTGGACTTTCCAGAGTCGTCAAAACTTTGCTTTTCTCGACATTTTTACAGGGCTGCGGGCATCTTATCATTAGAAGTAGATACAAACACAGGAATTCCTTTTTCTCTTTTTCTTTTTTAAATGGCCATCATGTGAGATACATGCATATATATTTTTTTGAATGATTTGCTAACAATAGTTTGTGTTTCATTCGAAATTCAGTCTTTTACAGTATATTGTCAAAAGCATTGGAATGATTAACCATAAAGGGTAAAATCTCTGAAATGATTCCAGTGGTTGAATTTCTCACAGCTGTTTACCTAAAACGAACATGATGGCCAAACTGGAAAGTTTTAAAATTTTGAAATTTCAATGGCTAATTTTGCTCATTAATGCCTCCAAAGGAAAGGTGAATCCATTTTTGAAAGACTGTTTCACTTCACTATTACAGATGCACAGATGGTTTACTTTCAGATTTTCAAGGGAAACTAAAAGCATGCAGCAGCAAGTTGGCACTGTGGAAACCAGCAACACTGGCAGGGAAAGAAATCCTCCAGTACGACACCTTTCTTTATTAATCTCCTCTAACCCAGTGTCCTCTCAGCATTTTTCAGCTTTGCGCTTTGATCCAAAGTTCAAAACTATAAGTTTTTAAAATAAAAATAAAATAAAATCTAAGGAAAAAAATAGACATATTTCATTATTACCCTTGGATACAATTTCACCAAATACTTTGCTCCCTATTTGTGTGTTTCTTGAGTTCAGTAATGTAACTTCCTCCGCTGAGCTTCAGTATTTTGGCACTTTGGTATAATCCTCCATGTGGACGTTCCTGCACAGGCAGATGGACAGGATCATCCCCAGCAGCTGTTGACCAGAGAAAGACACTTTGAAATTTCTCATTTTTAAGTTATTTATTCATAAACAACTCAGATTGTTCATCTTGAACAAATTCTACAGTTTCAATACATTGGAATTACCAAGATTTCTCCAGTCTGATAAGAGTTTATTCTTAGTAGCAAACATTAAGAAACACAGTAAACTAATAACACAAAGAGTCTTTATTCCACTCACTTTGCATCGAAGAACATAATTGTTGGTGAACTTTGCTTTTTTTTTTCTTCAAAACAAATATTTGTGACAAAAAATTGTCAGAAATTTGTGAAAAAGTTCTGCATAGCGTAACGCCACAGAAGTGTATGAAAGTGTGTGAGAGCAAAGAAAACATCAGAGCTTTGTGTCACAACACTGTAAATAGAGGAACTGCTCAGCCTTCACTGAGTGATTACTCGGTGTGTTCAACAATGACATGAAGGTGCAGCTGCTTGTTTTACTAAAATTGTGTTTGACTTTAATTAACAACATTTTATGATTAACAAAGAATCCAGACACATCCAAAGGTTTCACAAAAAAAGCCACTTTAGTGATGTTGAACTGTAACAGGTATTATTTTGCATATTGTTTGTTTCTGTAAACTGCTTTCATGGAAACCCAGCTAGTTATGGGTGAATGAGAGTTAATGACGTTGTACCTCAAGAAGAGTCACTCCAAGGCAAATGCCTAACACAACCCCAATGTTGGTGAGGAGCCACCTCTCCACGCTGGCGGCACATCCCTGATTAAGACAAGAACCTTAATGACTGGAAATGCATCTAAGAGACAGCAAGTATGTGAGATGAACGGAAAACACCATTTACCACATCGTATACAGGCCAGTCAGGTGTCTTAGCCTCACAGAATCCACTGTCAGAGAGGTTTCCAGAAATAAGTGAGATGTTCTGGCAGGAGCAGGGAAACAGCAGCTGCGAGCTGTTGACGATGACCATGTTACCACTCCAATCTGTACGATCAATCCAGCCACAACACTCCATCTACAGATGGGGAGAGTTAAGCACAGGTTTCATTTGTAACAGCCAACGTTTTACTCCCAAGGACGTTTGACTGGCACGGCTGATGAAGGGATGATGAACACATATCATTTTATACTCATTCTGGAACAGCTACTTTGGGCCTGATTTCATGTTTTTCAATTTAGCACCCATGTAAACATTTCTGAAGAAAATATCAAAGTATTTTATTTACAAATGTTATTAATCTACTTTCATATTTTGAAATGAAATGAAATTCCTGTTAATGTCAACATGTTGCCGGGGAGGTTCTGACATCACACAAACCTTAGTTCTAGTTACTGTTTCACTTGGAAAACACTGGTGTGAACCAGGATTAGACAAGTTAAATGCTCAGTTTGCTCTCATGTAGTGTGAGAATTTTCTGTGATTACAGATGTCTGGAAGCCTTTAAGATCCACACAATGCAGTCAAATGGAGTATTTACAACATGCAGCTATCTTATATTAAACATTATATCGTAAGTGTGTTGAGATAAGGTGACTACACACTAACAGTGCTGAAATTTAAACTCAGGAAATCTGCTGATTAAAATAACTGAGGTTTAGATTACTGAAAATTAAAGGTTGATATTAAGTCATTTTTGCTTATCAAGACTGCAAAGCTATTTTGTCACGAGTGACAGAATCTGTTCATATAAAAATGAAATCTGATTATTTCAGAAGAAACTGGCTGAAAAGAGAAACCTAGAGAGCTATTTTAAGCTACATTACCTTCTTTTGGAAACACATTGATGGAGAAGTGGTAAAAGGCAAAAGTACTGGTCCTTTTATAACCCTTTACTACGTTACCTGAGCACCCTTCCAATGCCCTGCTCTACCTCCTGAGCTCAGTGGAAATTAAGATTGTTATTGCTCAGAGTACAAAAATAAATTTTCTAATATATTTCAGACAGATTCTTATTAGGATCAAAGATCTGATGTCTCAACAGGACCTTGAAAAACTAGTCCATGCATTCATCTTTAGTAGGCTTGATTACTGTAACAGCATCTTTACAGGTCTACCTAAAAAATCAGTCAGACAACTACAGCTCATTCAGAACTCTGCTGCTCGAGTCCTCACTAAGACCAAAACAGTGGACCACATCAGTCCAGCTCTGAGGTCTTTACACTGGCTGCCTGTCCGTCAGAGGATAGACTTTAAAGTTCTGATGCTGGCCTATAAAGCTCTGAATGGTTTAGGACCAACATACATCAGTGACCTCCTGACCCAGTATGAACCTTCCAGATCCCTCAGGTCATCTGGATCCGGTCTTTTATCAGTTCCCAGAGTCAGAACCAGACACGGAGAAGCTGCATTCAGGTTTTATGCTCCTTATATCTGGAACAAACTCCCAGAAAGCCTCAGATCAGCTGAAACACTCAGTTTATTTAAATCCAGGTTGAAGACTCACCTGTTCTCAGCTGCATTTGAATAAAGCACCAAATCCACACTTTTAAGCTTAAATTTCAAAACTTACACTAACTACTGATCTTATCTATTTCTGATTTTATCTGTTTTGATTTTATATACTGTTTTGTTTGTTTGTTTTAATCAATTTTAAATCATGCTTTTTATTTTTGTTTCTAATGTCTCTGTAAAGCACTTTGAATCACCTTGTTGTTGAATTGTGCTGTACAAATAAACTTGCCTAGTCTCTTTAGAAAACGTAAATTCAAGTTAATTTGTCTTCTTTGTCTCATTTAGGTTTTCAATGCATTTTCCAGCATCAGCTGACAAGAACAAGTCTAACTGCAAAGTGTAAAGCATCAAATTCCCCCTGTTAAAAATGGACTTTCCTGTGCTTCTAGTTTCTAGCTAGGACATTTCTGCCATTTTGTACCACTGAAGATATTTTTATTGATGGGTTTGTATTTCAGGTCCATGCTTCCAACTCACGTTAGTCTGGATGAAGTCCCAGGCCTGCTCTGTGATTGAACTGTTCCCAGAGTATTTGTCCAGTACCTTAGTGATGACCTTGGAGATCTGCTCGTTGACCTGAAAGACAGCAGGCTGCCAGAGTTGGTGAAACATGTATTACCATAAACATATAGGCAGTGTAATATGCCCACACTGTATCCATGTTTGAGCCAATGTGTCTCTTTTGTGTCTTCTTTTTGTGAATATATTGTTGGATGGATACCATTCAAATGAACTAAATTAAAACGCCCTCACTACATGCTATGCCAGACGCTAAGTAAAATAAAAATTTCTCAATGTGGCATGTTTTAAATCTTATTAATTAGAAGGACTATGTGAGTTTTTGTCAATCATAACAACAATATTTACAGCCCATCGTATCTTCATTTAAAATATGATGACTAACATATTGTGTAGGTCTTTCTTGGAAATATTACAGTTCATTTGCAAGAAAGTACAAAAAAGGTTCTTCTGAAAATAATTGGAAAACATAGCTATACTTATTTTACACAAGTTTAAAAAGTTTATGAATGCAAAAAGACAAAAGAAAAAAGAGAAGGACTGTAGGAGCAGTCAGCTTCTTCAGGTCAGCAGATGTTTTATCTCAAAATAAGCCTCTTTTTTTTGTTCAGGCTGAACAGCAGACATTTGCATCCAAACTTTTCACCAGAATTTATATTAGTTTACACTCTTTGCTAACAGAATACAGTTTTGCTCCTGCACCCTACGAGCGTCTGCCAGCACAAATGAACCTGCTGCTAGTTGATCAGAGACATCGAAAAAGGCCAACCGAAGACCGGACAGTCCTGATCCTCAAGGACCCCCAGAAAGGGCCGGTCCCATCCAACTACCAGTCTCAATAACCTGCTTCAGCACCACATGGAAGCTCCTGTCAGGCATCATAGTGGCTAAGATGAACAGGCACATGGCTCAATACATGAGCGGGGCATAGAAAGGAAATGGCAAGAATACCAGAGGCGCGAAACACCAGCAACTGGTAGACCGAGCAGTTACCCAAGACTGCAAAACCAGACTGACCAACCTGTGCACTGCCTGGATTGTGACAAGAAGGCCTATGACTCGATGCCCCACACCTGGATCCTGGAATGACCTATACAAGAGCAGAAGAACCCTAAGAGGGTTCTCAATGGGGATGTGGCGTACAACACTAGAGGCCAACTCCAAGCCCATAGCACAAGTCACCATCAAGTGCGGGATCTACCAAGGAGATGCTCTGTCCCCACTGCTGTTCTGCATAGGCCTGAACCCCCTCAGTGAGATCATTAACAAGACTGACTACGGATACCGACTTCGGAGCAATCATCAGCCACCGGCTTCCTGGATGACAAAAAGCTGTATGCCAAGAGAGAGACATGGATTCGCTGATCCACACCACCAGGATATACCGCAACGACATTGCAATGTCATTCGGACCGGAGAAGTGTACTTGGATGATAACAAAGAGAGGGAAGGTAGTCAGAATTGAGGGGATCGAACTACCAGAAGGCAACAAAAAGCGCCTTGAGGTGACTGTTGTTGTGATTTGGCGCTACATAAATAAAATTGAATGGAACTGAACATTGCAGACATTGAGGACAGCTACAAGTTCCAACAGGCAAATGGGAACCATGAAGCTCCCCCTAGAAAAGCTGCAGTCACCAAGTACCTGCAGAGGACCAGGCAAAAGAACAAGATCCAGGCTATCTACACCTACACCCTGTGGGGTTAGGTTAATTGGTGATTCTTAATTGCCCATAGGTGTGAATGTGAGTGGTTGCCTGTCTCTCTGTGTCAGATTGGTGATCTGTCCAGTTTGAACCCTGTCTGTCACTATATGGCAGCTGGGATAGGCTTCAGTCACCCGATGACTACAAACTCCCAAGATGTGAAGTTAGTTCAAGTCTGATACATAAAGATTATGAGGAAGAATAAATCACCAGCCAAAACAACGTCTGTAGAGACTGAACTGCAGAGGTAGCAAAAGTACAAAAATTCTGCACTTAAGTAGAAGTACAGATACCTAAAAAGTACTCCAGTAAATGTTGAAGTACTGAATGAAATGCACTCAAAGTAAAAAAGTAACTCTTTCGAGGACGTTTTTTAAACAGCTTATTTGTGTAAAGTTAACTGAACCTGTTACGTTAATGTAATAACAAAATAGCAAGTGGGAATACAAACTTTATTTTAGTCAGAGTTTTTTATTCTAATTGTCCTCAGCTTGAACCAATTAAATAGAAATGAGCAGAGAAAAAGAAGGAAATCTATTAAAATCTAAAATCTATTTTCTGTTGCCTACATTGTAGAGGGTGACTTTGCTTCTAAACAGGAAAATGAGTACAGGGTTAAAGTGGGATACAGCAGGTGGGGGAACCCTAAAACTGATTGTAATGGCTCAGTGTGGGGAAAACAACTCATAACTGACGATCATTTCTAATGTGAGCTCCAGTAAACTCTTGGCTCTGACGGAGGCGGTCGCATCTTTCCCCGTGTCCTTCACC